ATCGATTTTCCATTCCTTAGGTATATTACCATAGATTTCTTTAAGCATTGATATTTCCTCTTCCTCTAGTCCCATACATCTGAAATAAGTGTCCGACTTTAATGTTCCTTTTCCATCTATAATATGGTACAATCTGTAAGTATTTTTTAAGAAAAGATTTTCATTGAAGTATGTTTTTCCACTATTGTGTATAAACCTATTATTTAAAAAAATTTCATTCCCTTTGTGAGTTGTATCTTTTTTAATAAAATCATTCATATCTAACCAAATATTTATTAAATCCCGATAGTATTTTGGTAATTGTATATCGATCTTGTTAGGTAAATAGTTACAGTAAAAAATAAAATTTCCTCCGAAAGGTCTCATTAAAAATTTGAAATACTTTTTCCATTTAACTCTCTGGTTTCCTGTTACAAGTCTTTTAATCCACATCACCTTTTGTACTTTCACAAAAAATTGAAAGTTGAGCATTTTTAATCCTCCTTGCTTGTAATCAAAATACATCGTACTTTTTTTAATTTTGTCTTTACCTCGCCATAGAAAATTAAAACAGATCTCATCAATTTCTTGTATAACCCATTCAGGCACTGGAGTCAAAGAGCTTACATAGATTAGTTTTGAATATGCGTATGTTTTCAGTAAATGAATTTTCCCTATCAAAGTAAGATCTCTTTGTTTCCACCAATTTAACAATTTCTTTATTTTGCTTAATATTTCTTTGTAATTCATCTCTTCCGCCACATTGGGATCTAATGTAAAATATATACCGAGTATTTTTAAAATGTGTGCCTCCTTTCCAAAAGGATACACAGTCGCAGAGCCAACAGAAGATCCTAAGGGTAAAATGAATGTTTTATTTCCATTAATCTTTAGTCCTGATATTTTCCTAAAATTTTCCATGATTACCTCTATTCTATTAATCGAGTTTATGTCTCGTACAAAAATTGACATGTCATCTGCATATAAGATCATCTTTATTTCTGTTTCTCCAAAACAAATACCTTTTACCAACTTATCATTTCTAATGCAGTGAGTTAAGCATTCTATGCATAAAACAAATAAATATGGAGATAACGGATCTCCTTGTCTTACACCCCTTTGAACTTTAAAATATCCGGTTGATTTACCCCCATTAAAAACACAACTTTGAGCATTGGTAAGTAAAATTGTAACCCATTCACAAAACATTGGCCCAAACCCGAAAGAAATGAGCACTTTCTGAAGAAAACTATGTGAAATCGAGTCGAAAGCTTTTTCATAATCTATTGCCAATAGGTACCCTGGTTTGTTAAAACAAGAAGTATGAAAAATCATATCATTGATTAATCTGATTGCATCACCGATGTTTCTATCTTTTAAATAACCTACTTGGTCGACCGACACAATTTCATTCAAAACTTTTTTTATTCTTTTAGAAAGTATTTTGGTAATAATCTTATAGTCTACGTTGAGTAAGGAGATAGGTCTATAATTACTAATGAATTTGGGGTCTTTACCATCCTTATGTATAAGCGTTATGATTGCTTGTTTTTGAGAAGGCGACAATTCCTTGAATTTCATGGTATCGTTAAATGCCTTAAGAACTAAGTCACCAACTACATGCCAGAATGTAATATAAAATTCTACATTTAATCCGTCATTTCCTGGGGATTTATTTAACTGCATTTCTTTTAAGATTTCAATACACTCTCCCTGGTTAATTTTTCCTTCACATAGCTTCCTTTGATTTTCTGTTAATTTGGGTAAGGTTTTGGGGAAAAAATTAATATTTTCGCATAGTCCTTCTTCTGATTTAGCATACAGTTTAGAATAAAATCTCCTAATTTCTTGTATGATATCTTTTTCATCATCAGTTATATTTCCATCTACTTGTAATTCTTTAATAGCACTTTTTTTCCCTTTGAAATCTATTAGTTGCTTAAAATATGCCGTTTCTCTTTCTCCACTTTCAAACCATTGGGCTCGAGATCTGATTTTTACCCCTTCACTTATACCGTAAAGACTTTTCAATTCCCTTCTTTTCTTTTCCAAATCGTTAATCAAAGAATTGTCATTCACCTTCGCTGGTATTTGTAATTCTTCCTCTAACTTTGAAATTTCTTTTTCCAAACCAACAATCTTATCCTTTCTTTCTTTGGCTTTTTTCTTACAGTATTTTCTTGCAAAGCTTCGTATCTCCATTTTAACATAATCCCATAATATTCTATTATCTATTATCTCTTTGGATAAATTGAGTTTCAACCGTGTTATTTCTTCTTTCATACTTTTCACATAATCTGCATCGTTACATAAACTGTTATTAAATTTCCAATATCCTGCTTTTATTACAGGATTAGTAGAAGAATGTAGTTTAATAATCAGTTCTACTGCTGAGTGGTCCGGTGAAATTGAAGGTAATATTTTGCAGCTAAATACCATCTTCTATGCTCTCCGAAATAACCCAGTAGTCCAATCTACTATGCATTTTAGGATTCTGTTGGTGATATGTAAATTGTTTCTTTAAATTATTTTTGACACGCCATATGTCTGTGGCATTATAGTCAATTAAAAACTTTTCAAATTCATAGCTAAGCTTAGACTGTTTTTTATTAACATTATGTCCACTGTAATCTAAATGTACATCTCTAACCATATTAAAATCCCCTCCAATAATGAGAGGTTTATTTTTGAATTCATCTTTTTCCAAAATATTTCTAACTTTGCCCAGAAACTCCAATTGTTCCAACTCTTTGCTCCCAACAGGGAAGTAAACATTTCCGAGTATTACCTCCTTATTCTGCAGAAAACCAACTGCAAAAATGTATCTGCCATTTTCATCGATAACTGTGTGTCGTATCTTAATATTTACTCCACTATCAAATAGTATCATAACCCCTTTACCATGATTAGTACCGTGGCTGTATATACATTCACCTTCCCACATCGAATTCCAAGTATTAACTATATCTTGTGTGCTAAAGGTTTCCTGTAAAAAAATAATATTCCCACCTTTTTCTTTGCACCATTTGAAAATGCTTCTTCTTTTATTTTTCTCCCGAATACCTTTTACATTTAAGGATATCAAATTGCAGACGGAAATTTTAGTGTTACTCATCATGTGCGTGTTGAGTAGATAATATAGGTGGATGAGAGATGGAAAGGTTGTTGCCCACATTCAAGCCATATAAAACTAACCAGATCAAAGGCTGCCACAAACTGTCCCCGTTGAAAAAAAAAGAAGAATACATTAAACATTTACATAACATATAACACACACAATAAAACCTATGTAGAAAAGACATGTCTACAAATAAAGTTGCACCTATTTCTCCTCCGCTCACAACCACCGCCTCACCCCCCCCCCCCCAGCTTCTATCCTTTGTAATACCTTCTTTATACAATCATTCCAATACCGGCTACATGCATGCGCTTCATTAAACCTAAACATCTTTGTATGCAGTAACCACTTCTGTAAATGAATGTCAATGAGCATCTATGTGTTTGACCAGCACAATGAACTCTTTCCTTTTTCTCTATATGAAGAAACCAAAACAATCATTAAAACATCTAGTATGGAGTAACCAATTCTATAAATGAATGTCAATGCATGCATGCACTTCATTAAACCTAAACATCTTAGACTAAACTATCCTATTCCATCCCGGGCATTCTTTAATCGTCTAAAGAATCATATAGACCTTGGCATTCTTTAATCGTCTAAAGAATCATTAGGCCTTGGTATGAAGTAACCACACCTATGAATGTATGTCACTATGCCTACTAGTACTTCGACCATCACAATGAACTCTCTTTTCTTCTTCTTTTAAATGAATATATTTAAATGGCAATATTTCTTCAAACTACTCAAGATTCCTATGAATCAAAAGACCAAACTGTACTATTCAATCCAGGACAGTCTTTTTTTTTCCGTTTAAACATAAGACATGCTCTTAATATAAAAGAACTCAAGATTTCTATGGGTCAAAATACCAACCAATACTAATCAATCCCGGGCATTCTTTAATCGTCTAACCCTAAGACACGCCCTTAGTATAAAAGACCTTAATTCAACCGAAACAATCATTAGACACCTTGAATGAAGTAACCAAAAATACTGAATATCACTTGATACTTCATAATCGATATTGGCAATATCGATATTACCAATTAGGAGGACATACTGTGTATGATCGAATCTCTTTGGGTAATACCAATATATATTGATATTACCAATTAGGTATATTCTATTCTCATTTGTATTAACTTCATCACATTGATCATTGGCACATTGATCAGGAAGTAATACCTCCCTTGATGAACAGTAAAATATAATACAATATTATAAATATGCTAAATTACACTCAGTACATTAAAAATATAATAACATAATGTAATAAGAAAATAAAATAAGAACAGTAAAACATAATACAATATTATAAATATGTTAAATTACATGCACTCAGTACATTAAAAATATAATAACATAATGTAATAAGAAAATAAAATAAGAATAGTAAAACATTATACAATATTATAATATGCTAAATTACACTCAGTACATTAAAAATATAATAACAATCATAATGTAATAAGAAAATAAAATAAGAACAGTAAAACATAATACGATATTATAAATATGTTAAATTACACTCAGTACATTAAAAATATAATAACATAATGTATTAAGAAAATAAAATAAGAAAAAGTAACAACAATGATAAAAGGTATGATAAGATTACTGAATATAGAAGCTTGTGTAGGTGCTATCTTATATACATATTTATGTATGGTGTGTATGTGATATAACAAATAATGTGCACGTACTGTTAAGAAACACTAACAAAGCCCATGAATGTTTTGCTTACGATATTATTTTACGATACTATCTTAAAAGATAGATAAATATAAAACGAAATAAATATATATTTTAAAAAATCCAAAATTGAGAGATATAACACGTGCCGTAAAGTAATTTGGCGACAATAGTAAAATCACTGACTAATCGCCAATAACTCAAAACACAACAACAACAACAAATGTACAAAATTACTGTCATCTTTCTGTGATTTGTCTGCTGCAGCTGCATCGTTTTTTTTCCGAATTAACCGTTCCATAATGACATCAGATGCAAGGCAACGAATTGTGTACCTAACAAGAATCGAACAATTTTCAGCTTGTCATAGATTACACAGGTAATTACCTATAATACGACATTTTTTAATGACCTAACATGACAACAGACACACCGTACCGTGACGGACCGACTACGGCTACGTACGCTCGTCCTATACCATATGCTATACGGCCCGAACCAAGGCTGTGGTACTGGCGCAGCGCGAAGTGGCGGTGCCGGTGCCGGTGGCTACCCGATATACGTAGACTGGCCTACTGTACTGGTAGTGGTAGATGTAGCTTAGACTAAGTTAGACCGAAATTTCTGTCTCTTTCGTTCGTGGGCTAACGAACAAAAGAGACAGAAATTTAGGTCTGAGACTTAGTTAGACTTCTTCTTCTTCTTCTTTGGTGTAGTCTGCTTCCTTCAATCTTGAAAATTCTTGCAGAACTGTATAGTGTGTGTGTGTGTGTGTGTCACAAGGATAGGGTGCATGTGCCAATAACAAATTAGGAGTTTAGACAAGGGGACTGACATGTGATTCATGCATTTTGAAAGAAACTGTGTGAAATCAATCAGAAAAAGTTGATCATGGACCTATTCATAGCATAATTGGTGCATGGTCAACGTGACATGGTGGTGTATATTGCAAGGTTCTGGAATCATCAAATAATAAGAAATTTGGCCCGGCCCATTCGGCGCTTGTTCAGAAACCTATCCGAAATTTGACCCGTAACTCTGGCATGGAGATACCCTACTAAAACGTACCCAAAATGAAATAAATATTCATTAAATGTCCAAATAAAGATCATGAGTTAAAAGTTGTTATGTTTATTACCTGTTTCGTGTCAATATTCTTGTTACTTTTGGAGTATTTTTTTTTTATAAACGTTGATATTAGTATACACTTTTTCACAGGTTTCACAGCAAACCGCTGCACAATACAAGTGCATACCGATGGTGGGTTGCGGGCAGGTGCGCGCCTGTGTGAAGTTATCTACCGTAATGTCTCAGATCCTCATTACGGTAGATAACTTTTTTGGAGTATTTTTTCCTAAAAACGAAGACATAATATTTACTTTCTCACAGGTTTGACACTTGCATATTGATAATGCTCCAAATTATTTGTCACCTCTCCCCATAACTCAACCTTCTCTTTAAGCCGGACTAGGTGATGATATTGATATGATATATGTTGTTAATAGAATATAGGCGTTTATCATTCAGGAGTGAATAATTATATCCCCTAGCCTCAATTGACACCCATACCCCTGGGGGTCGTTTCATGAATCCAACTCCGTGACAGTCATATCTTTGTCTGGAAGTGGATAAACCGTTTTCACAAAACCATGATTAGCGACAAATTAATTATTTTGATACCATCGGCTAAAAATTTATTGTCTTTGCCACGATCTGTGAGATTTTATCTTGAATTAACAAATTATATTATGAGGCTTAACTTTATTCAAACAGGATGAAAAAGCAAAAATCTAAGTTAGTGGTTGCACAAATAATACAGACCTCCAATTTGCATGTAAACATGTGTTACTAACTACATATACGAATGTATTAAATCTCTCTTTCCAACAGTCCAGAGCTAACTGATGATGAAAACATCAAATTGTACGACAAATGTAACAACCCTAATGGCCATGGACACAATTACAAAGGTAAGGTTTAGTCTTTTTTTAATATTTGATTGCACTATCAACCTGACCAGATCCCATCGCAGAAATATTATTCACCTGTATTCACCTGTAAATTTATTCACCTGTCTTTTCGGGCTCCTTAGTATGACAATGTCTTGTAATGCCCTCCTATAGTTCATCAGTACACCTCTGCAAAGAGTTTGTTCCTTAATACCATAGGTCCATCGCTGGATCTGTGGGAAGACTCAACAGGATTATCACCTGCTGGGCCTATAACTAAACTTGTCGAGCTGTGTTGAAAGATAGGCATCCACCTCTGATTTGAATCTGTTTATGGTTATTACTGTATTCATTGCAATCACTAAAGCTAAAGCTTTTTCAAATTTGATTGAATCAGATTTTGTAAAAGCTCTGTATGTGGTTGACTTTGTATTTTGTTCAGTTCGGGTAAGTATTTTCCAAAAAATAAATAGTTTTAAGTTGTTGATTTAAGAAAATAAGTCATTTGCAAACTTGTACTATGAATTTTTTATTACTCTTTCACTAAATGTATCATGAAATATGACATGACATAGCTGAAATAATGATTTTTCTTCTTCTTCTTTTATATTTACAGTTGAGCTGACATTGCGTGGAAAGGTACATGACATGTATATTATTAAAAAATGTATAATTCAATCCGTTGAGTCCACACAGAAAGAAAAAATAAGATAATAGTCAGTTTGACATGTTGATGAGGGTATACAAATTCACTGTTCATACATTCACAAAAGTTTTTTTTTTCCTTTCAAAAGCCTAGTAATGGTAGGAAGTTGATTTGCATTACATACTGTAACTTATTGCAGTTATTTTTTTGTTGCATGCCAACTTTACCATGTGATACACTGACTAATTATATTAAGATAAAATGCATGTTACTGGTACTTGTAAGGAAGTAAATATATATGTATATATATATATATATATATATATATATTTATGCAGTCAAATATGTCAACACTATACCCTTCACCTATATCTTGCCATTATGTTGTTTATGCATGCCATACACTCCATTACTACTATGTTGCAGTCCTGTTCTTTTCCTCTCCTCTTTTCTCTTTCTCCAAGCTCTCTATCGTCCTCTCCTCTTTGCCTATCCCTTTCTTCCTTTCTTCCATTTATAATGTATAATTGTATTTGTGTATTCGGGCGTACCCACTACAAGCTCTGCTTATCGGGTTTCGCGCCTTCTTCCTTGTAATACAAGTTCTTTAATTATATTTATGTTCCTACATATAAATTGTATTGTTTGAACAGATGTCAAATATGTTGTCAAATTGAATGAAAGAAAATAAATGTTCATTTGAATTGAATTGAGAAAAAAAAGATAAAATGGCTTTCAACTATTGTCTAATCGAGGAAGTAAACAGATACATGTATACCGAGTTAAATTTTATTGAAAACTGGGAATACCATTGAAGTGAAGATTGCATTAAAGATGCAGTGAAGCACATATTTTCATTTTTACCCAGATCAACACTAGTTTTAACGGAGGCTTGAATGTTCCACAGATTTGAAAATAATGAAGGCATGTATTATTTTTAACTTACTAAATTGAAATGAAAATCAATCGTGCTGCTGAATTGGAAAACTAGAAAAACTTTTTCAACTATTTGAAATAAACATGTTTCTATTTCTTTTTCAGGTTTACCCAGTGACTGGCATGGTCATGAACATTTCAGATCTCAAGACTTATATGAAGGTAATGGGCTATTGCTAATTGGCCTTTCTGTTAAATATTTCATGGTCTTAATTGAAATAGAAAATAGAAGAAATTAGAATACCAGCGAAGAGGGGGAAGGGGGAGGGGTGCAGCAGATGGGGGAGTATATAGCATACATGTATATAAAATGGCTTTGCGAGGTTGAAAAGTAGACTACTGTATAAGCTGATATTTTTTGTGTGCAGATATTTTCGCGAATGACAGGCCAAAAGGCATTTTCGTGAATCGTTTGATTGAGTGTTGCAAGCAGTGCAAATGCGAAATCGAGAGGGCGCAAGCATGTGATTTTATGCTGATATTTTTGCGCTCCAGAATGATGAGGTGGGAATTATTTGTGCGTGTTCAATAGATTGCCGATAATATGCAATTCGCGAAATGTGCGAAAATAAAACCTCTCAAGAATAACGGCTTATACAGTAATAAATATTAGTCTGCAAACAAATCTACATTCTAGAGATCTGTTTTGCAATAAGACTTGACAATCTTCTCTTTCTTTTATCAAATCATACAAATTTATGTATTTTTTTCTTTGTTCTCAGAACGGCTTCCTGGACTTACTGGATCACAAGAATCTCGACAAGGATGTCAATTACTTCAGGTCAAATGTCAGCACTGTGGAAAACATTGCTATCTTCATCTGGGACAGAATGGCGAAGTGTCTTCCAGATCCGTCACTTCTGTTTGAGGTCAAAGTTCATGAAACTGATAAGAACATTGCAGTCTACAGAGGAGAATGAAATTGGTATGATTAGCGGGGTCAAAGGTGACATTTATTGGGTCAAAGTTTATAGAAATTATCATGTATGTATATGAAAGTCTCTGGAGAGAAATGACAATGTAATGTTTGGTGTCAAAGTTCATAGAACTGATAATAACAATGCAGTCTACAGAAGAGAATGAGATTGGTATGATTAGGGTCAAAGCGGACATTTATTGGGTCAAAGGTTATATAACTTTACATGTATGTATATGGGAGTTTCTGGAGAGAAATGAAGATGTAATGTTTGGGGTCAAAGTTCATAGAACTGATGAAAACATTGCAGTCTACAGAAGAGAATGAGATTGGTATGATGATTAGGGTCAAAGGTAACATTTATTGTGTCAAAGTTTATAAAACTTAACATGTATGTATATGAAAGTCTCTGGAGAGAAATGAAAATGTAATGTTTGGGGTCAAAGTTCATAGAACTGATATAAACATTGCAGTCTACAGAGGGGAATGAGATTGGTATGATTAGGGTCAAAGTTTACAAAATTGAAGTAAACATTGGCACGAGCAAGATGAAAATGTTTGGTTATTATTTGGTGATACAGACAAGAATAATGCAATCTGCAAAAGTGAAAAAAACTGACATTTAGTGGGTCAAAGTTTATAGAAATTAACATGTATGTATATATGAAAGTGCAATGTTTGGGGTCAAAGTTCATGGAGCTGACAAGAACATTGCAATCTACAGAGGAGTAATTTAAAATAATGTCAGTTTGTGAAACTGACTAAAAGTCTAAAACATTCCAGGAAACCAGAAAAGAATACACCTGGGCCCCATTTCACAAAACTTGTCATTAGTGATAAATGACAGTTTTTGTTATAAGCTACTGAAATCCCTGCTTCTGATTAGTTATCAGCAGATTTGTCACTGATTTTTGTTAATGGGTACTCGGTAGGAAGAAGTTCCATGAATGCCAGTGCACCTTATCAGCCCAGCTGGGCTAAAACTGAGGCATTAATAGTACAGTGCACAGAGACAGTATTAATGTGGCGCCGCGTCAGATAACTTGATTATATAGACGCAATAATAATGGTACACATGTTCTGATTAGGGTTTTTGTCTTGGACTTTATTTGTGGTCAAAAGTCTTGAAAGTCTCGAAAGTTCTGCTTTGCCTTTGAATTGATTTCAGCCTTTAACTTGAACCTTTAGTCTATTCAGCCATAACTTCAAACTTGAGTCTTGGCCTTGACCTCAACCTTGGCCCTTGACCTCAGCCGTAGGAACTATAAACAGACATGGCAAACATTAATAAGTATCTTGCTTATTTATAGTAATGGCTTTCGAACAACAAATAAGCTGACTTTATCAAATGCATCATTTTATCACCTTAAATCTTCTTTCTACAGAGTATCGGGTGAGTTGTATGATTCAAACAAATCAATATCATTACAAATGACTAATTGAAGTGAACTTCCATGACATCCCCAATTCACAAATGATTAATCAAGCTTATTATTATCACAATTGACTGAGTAAATAAATATTACTGTTACCATGGTTACCTATGATCCATTATCAATTATCATCTATCAAATGATAGCATACTATTAGCCATATCAAATACTCTCTAAGGTTACAACACTTTCAATACATATTAGAAACATTTGTGGTTGGGCTTGATCCGTTTTGTTTTCTTGACTTGCCTCAGGCCGCCACTCATGGAGGGGAGATGGATGTGGCTTGCTGCACAGTTCGCATGTGTGCCTCTTCGTACAATCCTTACTGAAGTGTCCTTGACAAAGACACCCGAAATAGAAGCCGATCCCCTTCAAAAAATCTTTGCGCCTTGAATTGAGGACATCCATCCAGGAAGTGGTCTGTTGACCCGCACAGGCCACAGCCCTTGGCAGGTTTCTTGGTTTCATTCAGGTACTTGTGTTGCTTCCTCCGCTCTTCTTTGCTCCTCCTCTTTGCTCATTTGTGCGGTGTCGACGAGGTAGGGTTGTCCAAACTGCTCCCTCAGTATCCATCTAGCTTCTGCATATCGTTCATGAGGAGCCATTATTACCCAGTTCTCAATACTACCTCGAGCCGTGCCGGAGCAGTACTGTACCAAGTAGGTCAACCTCGCCCTGTCATCGGTTACCTTGTCTGCGATGTTGACCTCGAAGCTGTGGATGAAGCTCCTGTACTCTATGGGGTCACCACCACATGTAGAGAGATCAGGTTTGGGTAAATTAACAGCAAAGGTTAATGGCATGAAACATTTGAGTCATATTCAAATCTTGAACATTACCTTTACATGAAACATCATTATTGGCATTTAACTTACTTTCTTTCCACGCTGGTGCATTAGGATTCAATCCAGATTTGTGTACAGGATTGATATGTTCACTTACACGTACATCTAGCACATCTAGCACTACCTGAGGATCCCTTGCACTGTTACCCTCATCAAAGATTTCTTCTCCTAGCAATCTAGCTTCTGCTTCAGCATTTACTATCTCATTGTCTATCTGCATTGTAGCTAATTGTTCATTTAACTTTAACTGCTCTTGATTGAGCTCTTGAGCTCTTACTAACTGTTCCTTCTTGAGTCTCGCTTGCTCAGCTCTGACCTTGGCGTCCCTCAGTCTTGCAGAGGGTGATGAGCTCGTGCTGCTGTGCTTCGAAGACCTACTCCCCCTCAACGCCGATGACCTCACAGAAACCTTATCTGCCTCCGCCTCGTCTGGTTCAGTCGTCAAGGACTGCCTCATCTTCATAGCCTCAGCATCCCACTCCATCATTCGCCTGTTGAACTCGGCCTTGTTGCTCTCATGCGACTCAAATTGTTCCTTTGATGCAGCCCTATCGTCCTTAGATAACCTTTTGTAGTATTCGCTGAATTTATGTTGATACAGCAAAAATGTACCTTTTAGCTGTCCATACTTCCGTCTGGCTGCGTTAAGGTTGTCGTAACTTGACATAACTTCCAACATAACCCTGGCAAGACCGTTTCACAGTCGCGACTTCATCACGCTCTTCCTTCTGGCGGCTTATCTCCATCGAAGCTTCACATATCTGTCCCTCTGATTGACTGTCAGAAGGAGATTCACACGCTTTCTCCAATGGCTTGTCTTTCAATGTGCATCCATTATTGTCTTTCACGATGATAAAAAGTTGTAAACTGATGTACCTATGTTTCTGAGAAACTTTCTACAGGGTAATGATTAACGTAGTAAATGCACTTAACTGAATCATTCACACAAGACGCAGTCTCTGCAGTATAAACTAGCTCGTGCCTTTATTCAAGTCTCAACATATCCAGAACAAATGTAGAGAAGTAATGTGTAGTGGTAGTGATGTCGATAGTAGTGATAGTGTTTACAACTGTTAAAAATCCCGGTTCTAATAGATGATCACAATGAAAGCTCCTCCAAACTTTCACACAATTCCAAATTTGGTTGCTAACTCCTTTCCTGTGTATTTCGGTCTCCACTGTTAGGATGTGGCATGCATCCCTTGAGATGCTCTACAAGGCGAGTTTATGTAAATTAGCCCTAAACAGACACCCCACTGGACCCTGGGCTGTTCCATGAACAAAGGGAAGATTCTGTTACATAATCTCAGAGGAATAGGAGAACTTGTTTGTAAATAAACGATTCCATTTCAATATGCCATGTTTATAGCTTAGAGTACCGTGTATGATACTAGTCTAGGCTTCAGACCTCGTAATATCTCCCTTTCTTCTTTCCTCTATTCCCATCTGAAAGTCATGTTCAAATATATGTCTTTCTCTCTATATTAAAAAAACAAAATATCAAATTGTAAAAAAAACATGAAAATATCTCCTTGTTGAGGTCCTGCCACCTGAAATTAGTTTCAACAAATTGAACTCTTAAAATCACATTACAAATAAATAAACAATTAAATACATGAGATAAAAATTATATACAAAAAAGTCAGTATGGGTACATTAGGGTAATAATATGTTTCCAGTCAAGGTAGATAATATACTTCTTAAATTAAGTTGGACTTTCACTGCTCACCGTTTTAGGCTTCTTCTGTTGAGACTTCGCTGATTTCTCAGGAGTAAGGAGGTGCTTTTCAGCCATGATTTTTAGTCCAGAATCATCTATAACCTTCAATTAAACTGTTGATTAAGTGTTTATATCAAACTGCGGAATTTAACATCGTAGAATTTGGCCACGAAAGCGGAGCTCAAAACATGAGCAACATGCTGCTATGCCTACTATGGAGCGCCCTCCCCGAACTGGTTTCTTGCTATTCTTATCTCCGATGTCAACTTGGCATAGATTTCCTTCCTTGAGAAGACCTACATATTCCTCTTCCAGGCTGAAGTTGGAATCTTCATCGTCAGTCATCTATGCTATGTCACACCGATCTTGCTCACCAGAATGCACAATCTTTGCTCTACATACTTTAGAGAAATGGTGCATCCTTTTGCACCTTGAGCACTCTTTGCCATATGCAGGGCAATTAGTTCTGCCTTTCTGATGATCGAGTCCACAATACTTGCATGAATTACCCTTTGTGGTAGTGTACTTTGCTTTCATATCTGGATTGTATTTCTGTTGGAATTGTCCCTTCGTGTGCTTGGTCTTAGCAAAGTTCATTTCGTGTGATGGCTGGTCACTGCCTGTGATGACCTTAAGTTGCTGCGTGGTGGCTTCACTAATCTTCAACATATCAAATGCTTTTTTATCAAGCATTCATCTTATAATAGAATATATCATTTATTGTCTTACAAAACAAAAGAAGAAACTTTTCTTCCAGGTGAATCATATTACATAAAATTATACAACTTATACAAAATAAATAAAATAAATACATTCATATAGAAATATCCAATGCATAAAAAGTATGAATAAATGAATAATAAATACATATAAAGTCCAAGGCACATATATCTTGCAAAATATGGCCCCATATTTGGTCCACGATCACAACAGAAATTATCCAAACCAAAAACACAAAAGATGGAAAATGAAAGATTAAAAATCATAAACAAAGAGAACAGAGAAATCACCTGGTGGTCGCCACAGTGCAGCGCCCTCTTCTCTGGATAATCTGGCTCTAGCTCCCTGATCTCAACAGCCCATGACTAACTCGTCTCTGACCATCTCATCTTCCAGTCGCTGGTCTCCAAACTTGCAAGTGCTTGACAGTTGACGCAACCTTTCCATGAATTGCGTGAAACATGAATCTCCCATACAGCACATTCCTTTTCATTAAGAAATGATCTCTTAGGCTATCTATGATCTTGCTAACAACTTTCATATCCTCTTTAAAAAGCCCTGACAGCACAGTGCGGCAGTCTTGCCGAATGACCGTCTTCAGCATCTTGCCACAAGACCTAATGCTTTTTATTTCAAAGAAATAATTGTTCATCCAAAAATAAGAATAAATCCTTATTCCAACTTCTTAGTACCGTTGAATTAAATTGAGTCTGGCTTGAGGGACCAAAGGGTAAAGTGTTCCCTGCATCAACGTGGGTTACGTTGGTTCTCCGCTTTGTCTTGAAGTTGAAGTGGGAAGTGTTCTCAGCTTCGATGTGAGAGTGTTCTTACTGTGGCGCTGCCCCCGATAACTTGATGACATATATAGATGCAATATTATGAAGAACAACAATCTACACATTTACATTTTTTACATTTTTTAAATTAATTAATTTCCACATGTGGGGTGGATTACCCTTTTCAAATGGGTCCACACACTTCTAAAAAACAGTTCCCTTGCCGACTGATCTTCTTTTCTCCCGTATCTGCAAACTTCCTTGCTGTGGACAAAGATTCATCCTCGGCCTGGACTTTGATCAAATCTTCAACAACCACTGCATCATCGAATGGCTTGGGCACATGAAGGGGAGGCCTGGTCCGTGCTGCTTGCCTCTTCTGTTCCCTGGTTTCCACTGCATTCGCACGATGATACCGTGGTGTCCAGTCAGGGTCAGGGTCGTCCGATTTCCTAACGCCAGACACTTGTCCGAATACCAAGTCGTACAATGGATTCATAACACAGGGCCTCCACTTCGCCTGTGTAGTATGGTGTATCTATCTGTAAAAAGGCAACTTGAAAATATCTCACAGTTCTATCAATAAGAACACAAATTTTCCTTTCCTTGCAAAGTTGATCTTCTCGCACCAAATCCCTTCGCACCACGACCGTGGAACAGCCTGTGTCACGTAGCATATCTACCAATGCACCATTCACAAGGCCCTTGCAAACTTTCAAATCGTCCTCTTGTATTCCACATGCCGCTGCAGAAAGTAGTGGAAAGATCTCTCCTCCTGCCAACTTTACCCCGCTATTCCTTGGCTAGTTCGTTTCCCTGTGGGTATGACGGGCGAGTAATGTCCTGGTAGCTGCGGAGGAGAACGTGAAAGCGGTCATCAGGAACCCCTCTCACATACATGGGACTGATAGTCCCAGAGTAGGCGCCGAATCCACACACACTAAGATTGGTTTTAGTGTCGATCAACCTGCGATGTTTCACGTCTACGAGTAAACCAAAGTTAGTAAGAAAATCCGCTCCTAAGATAGGTGTCTTCAAATCTGTGACAATAAAAATCCAGCGAAACACTCGTCGCAATCCAAGATCCAAAGTAAAAGATCGCTCACCGGAAGTGTTGATCGGCGAATGATTAACTGCTTGAAGTTGGATCTTCGACGCTTTGACCGATGAAAATTGAGATTTCTCCAACAGTGACTGGGGAAAAATACTCACCTCGGCTCCTGTGTCAACCATGAAACGCTTGCCAGAGTTCTTATCGAGAATGTAGCAAAGACGACTATGAGGTTTGTTGCCAAGGGAACTTGTCGCCGCTATTCCTTGGCTAGTTCGTTTCCCTGTGGGTATGACTGCGAGGGTGAAGGCGGTGTCGAATGCGATGTCGAACGTCGGCGGCTGGACGAGCACGGGCTCACACACTTGCGAGCTCTGTCACCATAAGTCCAATGATACCAGCACTCACCTCCTTGATGACGCTGTTGTCTCCGTGGACTCTTAGAGCTAGAAGGACGTCGAAGTGGATGAGATGCACCTCGATGCTGACTTCGACTACGACGATCCTCCTGGAGGGAAGAAGTCAGAGCTTGCACCTGTGCTGTGAGCTGTGTGTCCTGCCTGGAAAGCTGTTGAACCTCCGCAGAAACTCGTGGAGGTGACGAGGAAACAGCACTCCCACGAGTCACAGTAGTACTAGCAGGCGTGCATTCTACAGCAGAAACAGAAAGTGGGGAAGAAATCTCCAAGATTCTATCCGCTAACTCCGCTAATTGTTCGATGGAGACTGAGTCGGATGATGAAGCAAGAATAATTCTGACATTATTCGGGAGTCGCTGCAAAAACAGTTGCTTCAAAATACCTTCCTCCAATGTAGACTCTCCCAGTAGTTGTCGCATACGACGAAGAAGTTGAGTAGGCTTGCGATCTCCTAATTCCACAGCAGTGAGGAGTTGGTGAATCTGTTTCTGCTCCGAAACACCGGTTCGTTTGATGAGTTCTGATTTCAGTTTGTCATAACGATCCATTGCAGACGGGGCAATGATAAAGTCCCTGACCTCCTGTGCCACATCGGGCTGTAAAGAGCTAATGACGTGAGCAAATTTCGTCTCTTGTCGTGTAATAGCCCGCGTCAAAAACTGCGCCTCAACTTGAGCGAACCACAGTGCTGGGTAGCCCGGCCAGAACGGCGGAAGTTTGAGTCCAAAAGCCGTAACAGCTGGGCTGGTACTGCCCGGTGCCTCCAGGGCCGCGGCGGAGTCGGAGTCGGGCATTTCCGTTGGCGGAGATGTCGTCGTCATGCACACAAAAGAAATATTGCTCGTAGAAGAACAACAAAAAAATTCGGGGTCACCAATGTAGGAATAAATGTTGTGGATAAAACTAAATGAATATTCTTACCGTTATTAATAATCTTCTGAGCTGATATCTCGAGTGTAGAACGAAACTGGAAAGCGAATCATGAAGAGGAAGAATAGTGCGATATAGCGAAGTGATGACTCAGCTGCATACACACGTGGAGCACGACTAGCTAGCTAGCGAAACGCGAATATGAAGAAGGCACACAACCTTACAGTTCACACTTTCCCAAAATTAACTAGAGGACGTAAATCTAATTTGCGATTGAGTCCTCAAAAAAAAAACGATGATGATGAAACTCACTATTAATGTGAAAACCCATGAAATAACGCTTGTTGTATAATCTGAACTCTTCTTATAAAACGCGTCCGATTGTCGAAACTGAAGACAGGAGAAGTGAGTAAAATCTGTGTGTGGAGACTTTCCCAAGTGTGCTAAAAGTGTGATGATTGGCTTATTAAAACAATAAGGTGTGGTCCGATTGGAGTAACTAAAATAACACTCTTGTTGCTGGGTGGTTCCATGGATGAAATTAACTCAGAGAATGTTTAGAATGTGCAGCTGTAGATTGTTATTGTTATTGAAAATACTAACGAAAGGAATGCTTAAAATGCTGAGTATTTACAATGTTGATAAACATTTGTGAATTGTGACCTTAGAAAAGTTCAAGTCACTACACCCCCATTCCATCTTCAGTGAGATTCCGCTCTATAACTGGAGATTTGAAATCGATGATACATATACCTTCGTGGTTCTCTGCAAACGAGCGGCCATTCAAACTAGTCGATCCTGACTCGACGTTGCCTGTTCCCGTAACAGCTGGTTCGCTGCTAGGTCCGCCAACACTCATGCTTGCTCCTTTCTCTGGTCTCTTCCTCTGGGGACAGTTCCAAGAAAGATGTCCAACTTTCTTGCATACGTGGCAGGTCCTCTCTTCCCTTTGGCTCGACCTCGGCATGGTCTTGCCACCAAGAGACTGACTCTCCCGTCCATGACTCTTTGAACCGCTCCCTTCAGACTGCTGGGTTTCTGTAGACGGTCTGTCTCTTATTCTATGTGTCCGTGGGTCTGAGTGAGCATCTCTATACTGATCTGCAAGGATTAAAAGATTCTGCAAACTCGAAGGTTGTCGTTCCTTGATGAACATTAACAACTCTCTGTTGCCTGTATCCAACACTTGCTCCTGTAGTGTGAGACTCTTCATCCCATCTATACTACTATCATAGGGACTAAGTTCTAGCCATCTATCAAAGTATTTTTCAATCCTAGATGCAAATTGAATATACGTTTCTCCTGATTGGATTTTTGCATGCCGAAACTTCAACCTACATCCCTCCTCCATTAAATCATAACCCTTCAATAAGGCGGTCATTACTGCATTATAATTCTTAGCCTCATCTACTGTAAGTCGTGAAATAATCTGAAGTGCTTTCCCTGTTAACAAAGCGGACACTACTAAAGCCCAAACATCAGTGTTCCAATCTACACTAACGGCATGTCTTTCAAAACGACATAGATAGCTATCAATATCATCCTTCCCATCCTGAGAAGGTGGGATAGGAGGTATCCTGACTTTAGGAACTGATTGGGAAGTATTTCCTGCATCACTCCTAAGCTCCGCTAATTTAATCTGCAGTGCAACTAACTCTGACTCTAGCCTTCTAGCTTCACTTGCAGAAGCTCTTGTTTCGGCCCTTTCATCCCTTGCTTCATTCACACAATCATCCACATACACTGTCAACAAACAAGCAAAGAAATAAACAATTAAATACATGAAATATACAAGAGATAAACAAATATACAATCAAATACATGAGATATACAAAAAAAGTCAGTATGGGTACATTTGGGTAATAATATGTTTCCAGTCAAGGTAGATAATATACTTCTTAAATTGTTGAGCTGCGAGTGTGTTTACAGATGAAGATTTCCTGATTACATTCCATAATTTGAATTCCCTATATAGTTTTTATGCGAGGCATGTTCTCATTACGGGCTTCTGCCTTTGACTTTATTAAATTAAGGTTGAAAGGTTGAAGGTAGAAATGTTACTGTTATTATTATTATTATTACTATTATAAAACTGACAAAAACATTGCAGGCAACAAGAATAGAATTTTTGCAGTCAAAGGTTATGACACTGGCAAAACCATTGCAGTTTACGGAGGAGAATGAGATCAGTATCATTACATGTAGGGTCAAATTTTCCCTAAAATAGACTACCAGTATTACCTGTTTCGAACATGCACCAAGACAAGCCACTGTTACTTTATGTACCCAGGTATGTGTAAAGTTTCCACATGATCGGATGACTAAATAATAATGCAATAAACAAGTAATCAGGCAATTAGATCATTTAGATGGAGCTTATTGTTGCTGCTAAAAAAACAGTGAAATCTGATGTTGAGAAACCAAATTTAAATAAATGACATTAATTACATTCCATGTTTATGATCATACAATAGGTATTAACATATTATATTATTTAAATGTTGATGTTTTTGTTAATATTCTAATTTGTATTTTGATTTTGTCTTTGTCTGTTTGTTTTCTGCTCCTGTATTTGAAGAGTTTAAAATTCAAAAAGAAGCTACATCCAGAAAAAAGAAATTGTTTACCAGATTTTGTACAGGCATGTATAGAAAAGTGATATTAGAAGGTGCATTTTTTCATAATTGCTCCCGAAATTTTTGGTAAATAATTTTGTTGAAAGATCAATAACTCAATTTTCATCAAAAGTGGATTTAGCTCCTTCTGGAATTAGGCTCCTTCTGGAATTAAGCTCTTCATTTGTATTTTGTTGTTACTTTTGTAGGTATTTGTTACTGTATGTTATTGTATTTGTGACCCAGCCTCTTGCCAGTCGATGAGCAAATATTTTCTCTGGCAGAGGACCTGGATAATTTAAATGTAGCTGTATGTGCTGCCTTAATACCATATTGTATTATTATGATTGAATCTATTGATATTATAAATAAGGAAAGGAAGTATTTATATGAGATGAATTTAAATATGAGTTTTTTGTCTAGTTACATGATGAAGAAGTATTTTCACTGGCAGAGGCCCTGGGTAATTTAAATCATGGACCTACTAGTTCAATGAAGCTGTATGTGCTGCATTTATACTATATTGTATTATTATGATTGAATCTATTTATATAAATAAGAAAAGGAAATATTTATAAGAGATGAATTTAAATATGAGTATTTTGTCTAGCTATTTAAGAGTCATGATAGTCTGTGAAAGAAAAATTTAAGGATGTGAATTATAGAATAAAAAAGGAAGATGAGAGAGAAATATATTCAGAGGGAGAGAGAGGGGGAGAGGGAGAGGGAGATAGAGAGACAGAGAGGAAGGGAGTGAGAGGTAGAAACGGAGATAGGGAGAGAGAGGGAGAGAGAACGCAAGACTTGCACGTTATTAGTATGACCAGGGATGTGAATTTCCACTCTTTCTCTTTCGTCCGTGCTCCTCCCTCCGCCCCCCCCCCCCCCATCCCTCCTCCCCTGGATCCGCGCCAGCGCCAGCGGGTTTTGGGGACCATCGACCATCGCTCTGTTGTTGTTATTGTTATGTGCGCATGCGCCTATCAATTTGGATCACACATGGATGCCGCTTTACAGCTGAGCGATGTTGACATCCTACCTGTCTGATGATGACCTTGTCCTTGCATGCCAGATATTATATCGACCTTTCATGACAGACGTGCAGGTTAGTTACACTTACAGAAATGCTAATTGTTTTAGCTTTAATTAAGAATGTATATCTGCAAATTGTTGGTATAATATTGCTTTCATCGTGTCTGCGGCCATGGCAAATCGAGATCGAGGCAGCCAGGCTTGACATTTCACTGTCGGCGGAGTGTGTGGAGGTTGCTTCCCCGTGTATTCCGGCGGGTTTGTGTTGGGCTCTCGCGGATTGAAAATGGTGAAAGTGGTGACGGTGATTTACAGGGAAAAAAATTACTTAACAAATTTAGGGGGCTACTTTTGAAGCTTGCTTGCATTAAAGGTAAAGACCAGTTATGGTCATGCGATTGCATTGTGAAAGAAACGTTGTGGAATCGATCAGAAAAGGTTGATCATCTAGCATCTAGCATCTGCAAGGTTCTGGAATCATCAAAATGATAAGAAATTTGGCCCATTCTTCATAAAGTTACAAGCACTATACACAGAAAGATGTATATGGGACTACCCTATATCTCTCACAGACCATGAGAGAAACAAATTTACCAAATATATGAATTAGTAGGCAGTTTCCCGGCAAATTTTTTTATCATGTATTAGTCAAAACATATTCTTTCACATGATTGGTAATGAGAGCTTCCATTTCATTTTTTGAAATTGGGGCGTTTCCAATACTGGTCTTTACCTTTAAAATAACACTCTTTAATTTGTTTTGCATTGAACTCTATGCAAAATTTGGGGGCTCTTTTATGACTTTCGGGGGCTAATTCGCCCCGAGCCCCCGTGTATTTTTTTTCTCCCTGAGATGAGTTGATAATGACATCAAAGCATAGAGAGTCAACGCTATTTGGGGAAGAATTAATAATCAGTCATTGCACATTTTACTTGCTAACCTAGACCGAAAATCAGACTGTTTGTTGGGGATATGTTCTGCTGAGACTTCTTTTGGCCTCGCCAATTCATCTTTTGAACATTAACGATTGAAATGGACTTTGTTTATTTCGGAGGAGATCGTCAGAAAGTCAAATGATGTTGACAAAACATAAAAATGTCTCCCAAGCAGACAGATTTTCTGTCTATTGCCAAACCTGCAATATAAAGATGAATTACTTGAGGAGATGAATTGTCTGATTGCACTGTATATTCAGCTAGATCTAGAAAAAAATTCTACCCATCTTGACTCCAGACTCCTCAAAACATTTGGTCAGGTTGGATTAATTATTCCCTTACATTTCCTCTTTCTTTTCATCCTTTGGTCACCTAAAATGTTGTCAATTACTATTTTCTAAAATCCTTTACGTTTATCATACCAAGGATTACAGAGAATTGTAATCTATCGTGCATACTGGACAAGTGCAAGTACGCCCCCTACTGGCGGACAGTGGCTATTTTTCTCCTTCTCTCATTACATCAATTACAGAAATGGAGCATGTTTGTCTCATTTCTTTCAGAGCCAGATTCTTTTTTGGGCTTTTGAAACAGCTTAGCAGTAAAGAGGTCTTTTGACTAGATTAATTGTCAGTTATTGTATGCAAAGTAAATGATCCGTTCATTCATGCATGGGTGATAGTCTGATAGAGTATTAAAGAAGTGTATCTTACAAGGTATTTTTCTGATGGCTGAAATTTTAAGATGCCTAGTTTATTAAGAATGAAGAAAATTCTACACTGCACAGGGTATAAAGTTATCAAGGGTCCATTATTTACTTTTAAAAGAACACATACATGTATATATCATGATAATGTTTGTGAATTCCTGTTCAGTGCTCATGGCACTCTCATATTTTGGCATCGCACATGAAATCTTCATGAACAGGAAGGACAATGGCTTTCTGCATTTGAAGAGAAAAGATGCTGAAGAAAAAATTAATGTATGCTTTAGAATTAAATATTAGTCTTTTTTCAGTGTCTCTGTCTGTCTCCCTGCCTTCTCCCTGCCCCCTACCTGCCCCTCTCTCTCTCTCTTTCTCTCTATCTCTCTGTTTCTACTTGTGTCTCTTACAGGGAGCAAAGGAGGAGGGGTTGTAAAACACAGAGGACTGATTTGATTTCTTTGAGTAAGATGCTGAAGAAAAATTGAATATAAGTATGCTTTATAATTATTATTCAGATTTTTCTGTGTCTTTGTTTGTCTCCCTGCACACACACACACACACTCTCTCTCTCTCTCTCTCTCTCTCTCTCTTTCTGTATCTGTTTCTACTTGTGTCTCTCACATGGAGCAAAGGAGGAAGGGTTGTAAAACACAGATAACTGACTGAATTGATTTCTCTAAGTAAGATGCTTAAGAAAATGCTGTAGAATTACTATTAATTTCTCTACGTATGTGACTTTGTAAAACACAGAGAACTCAATTGATTTCTCTTTTAAGTATGAATGCACAAACCAAAACTGAATAGCTAAACTCCTGGAAGGGCTGTCACATATCAACAATTTGAGAGTGTCTTAAAATCAGTTTGTAGAACATGTTTGGGATCAAAGAAAATTAGTGCGGAAGGCTCAGTATAAGCATAAATATGAGTTAAGTTGATTTGAGTTGAGTTGAGTTGAGGTTTTATAATCCAAACTTTCAAATACAGTAATATCACAATGATAACAATAATAAATGTATGTTTAACAAATATCTCAAATGAATAATAAGGACCAGAAAAAAGCATAAAATGCTAATCATGTCTGGTACCATGCATTTTCTTCATATTATCTAAACCCCTTGCAAATCACCAATATGTGACTAGCCTTTTTCTTCTTCTAAGTGGTCACTGACTGCTGTAAAGACTCTCCAGTGTCCTATTTAGAGTCTGTTCAATGTGCTTCACCTATTCTGTGCAAGGACACCAATTATCCCACTTGAGTGGGGGATCAAGAATCATTTTTAAAGGACTATTGTTGCTTGGGATTACAAAAGGCAGCACATGGCCCATTTATTGAGCCGAGGTGAATAGGTATGCCCTCATCAGCTCGAGATTGCCAAATAGCCCACTATTTCTGATTTGAGAAATATACCCGAAGTTTCAAATCGACCTCGAAACTCGAAACTCGAACTTGAGAAATTGGCTTGAGATATTTTGTTCAGCGTTGGCGCATAGTGCCAGTCTTCGGGCTCGTGAAGACGCACCGGACAAATAGCGGGATAGTTTGCAAATTTATAGCCCCAAGATATCTTGGGATGATTATCTCGACCAAATATCCCGCTAATTGCAACTGCGGGCTGATGAAGACTCAAATTAGCTGGATAATTTGCGATCGGGATAGTAGGTTATTTGGCAATCTCGAGCTGATGAAAACAGGCCTATATACTATTCCTTGAGCAGGGTAAACAACAAGAAGGACAATAGCTCTACAACTTGGTTTCTCCCCTTGGTTCTTGAGGTGAGAAGAAAAGGGCTCTTATAAATACAAGTCTCTCAAACAGTTACTTTCAATTCAGAATGAAGCAGGAAAAGAAACAGTAATTATAGGGAGATCAGTGGCAGCGGCACAGTATGCATTTAAAACTATCCTCACTTCTTTTCAGATATCCCTTTTTTTGCATTGATTTACTGGTATTGCCTTGGAATAATTGGAAGGAAGTATACATTTTTAATCGTGATTTACTGTTTTTCACAGTGTGCTATAAAGTTCCATCTTTATTTGATCATGAGACAGAATTACTAACATGTGCACTTTGTAAATTCATTCAGATGTCCTAAAAAAATGCATTTTGTAAAAAGAGAGAATTTGTCAGGCAATTGCCTACATTTTTCTGGCTCTAATAAATCTACTAAATGCCTGAACAATGGATGATACTTTCTTCTCAATCATGAAGCAAACAACTTGGTATAGTTGAAAGTAAGAGCAAATCTGTAATATTTTTAATAATTAAATCAATCTCCAATTGTCATGTGGGAAATTAAATATACATCTCTAAGTTAATTTTAGGTACATGAACTTCATGAAGCTTATTCTGGTTTATTTGGATTACTCGTAAGTGTAAACATTATGCTGCCGAAAGCTTCAGAGCTTTAATCACAGGCTGCTCAATTGAATAATTGTCTGTCTAGCTTTTCAGCCCCGAGCATGGATGCCTAAATCAATAGATGCTTCCTTTTTGGCCTGTGGAATCTGATAGAGCTCAGTGCTTGGCTAGTCCAGTCTGCATTATTTCATTGTCTCCGTTATTGAAATATTAGATACTTGGATCTATTCACACCAGTTGTAGAAGTTAGTTTATTGGAATAAAGACATTGGATTGTCATCCACCATTTACCAATTCAAATCATGTTCCAAAATCTTTGGCTAGATGCTTTCTCCAATTGTAGAGATAATGAGAAACCATTGTCATACAAACTGTAAACTGTACTTCAACAAAAAGTAATGCAAAAGATATATGCATGTAGATAGATGCTTCCTTTTTGGCCTGTGGAATCTGATTGAGCTCAGTGCTTGGCTAGTCCAGTCTGCATTATTTCATAGTCTCCGTTATTGAAAATATTAGATACTTGGATCTGTCCACACCAGTTGTAGAATCGGTATTGTGTAGAACTTGGGTTATTGGAATATAGACAGTGAGGATTGTCATACACCATTGACCAATTCAAATCATGCTCTAAAATCTTTGGCTAGATGCTTTCTCCAATTGTAGAGATTTATCTGGTATACAGTGAGAAACCATTGTCTTACAAACTGTATACCAGGTACTGTACTTCAACAATAAGTAATACAAAGATATGCATGTGTGATGAAAAGTTTGCACCTATCTTTCTCATCTATCACTTGTTTAATTGTACACAAAACAATGTATGTGCCAAAAACAATTTATAGTTTAGGGAACAAATTATGTGGTATTATCTTGAATGTGTTTATTTGATGTACCTGAAGTTTGCATCCCCTCATCCCCAAGACAGATGGGGAAAAGATGATGACATATTGCCATTTTTATGTCTTTCAAGTCTCTCCCACAGATCGATTTCTCTGAATTGACGATTCGTTACTTCATTAGAGCTTGCTCTCAAGATTCAGTTCTCCCATCAAGGACTCCATCCTTGAATGTCTTGGTGAACTTGAGTATCTTTATTGAGTCTGAAATGTCAGGCAAGCTCTCGATGGCGGAACCGTGTCTTGGCATTCACCTCCCCGATGAGATGTGTCCATGTTCGGCTCGGCTCACATAATGATTAATTCATGTGAGAGTGAATCACGGAGGCCGAGGCTGCGAGCCATCATCAACTGTATTCCTTGCCTTGAGTAATGTGATTTGGTCAGAGCGCTCCTTCAAGGGCTCCTCTCCTAAATATATAATGCAGGATAATGAGCAAATTGCTGTCTCATCTGAAAAGGTCCTGGCTATATTTTCACCTTGAGGGAAAGATAACATGAATGGGGTGAGCGAAAAAGATAAAAACAGAGTGGAGAGCAATTTAGGCTTGGAAAGAGCTCTGGATAATTCATGAAAGCAAAAGGCTCTGGTAGCTCAGACCTCTCCCCCCCCCCCCCCAAAAAAAAAGGAGAGGAAGAATAATGGAGAAGGTTACATTTCATTTGATACATGTAGAAGCTGATCTCAAAAGGGCTCTCATGAAAGAGAGTAATGTTCCATTGAATAGAATTGGGGTAGATAATTTATTAATTTTGCAAGCTATCACTTTCAGAGACCTTGCATTAGAACTCTTTGAAGTTTGATGAAATACATTTCTTAGTGCAAAATGCTAATCAAAGAAACAAAAGAAGTGTTCATTACTGACAGGTGTATGATATTAAAAACAAGCTTGATTGCACATCATAGCCCAGACCCATTACAATGTCATAAGTGAAATGATGGATTTAGAAGTGAAATTATGGATGATTATCGTGGCATCTTCCAAAATGACTACCTTACCTTTAATGACCAACCCTACCTAGTGAGGCTTGGGTCTGTGGTTATAACCGGAGTGACTCATCAATCATAATTTCAGTTGCCCAATTTGTGGCTCATTTCCCAAATATCAAATTCTTTTGCAGCCAGCGGTCCAGGGGATGCGCTGTAGCAAATTTGGCAAGGAAATAGACCCTCCAGGGCTGGGGACATGTTTTCACTTGCGGTTGTAGGCACGATCCCGTTCAGACAAGAAAAAAAAATCATATATGTACATGTATTGAATAAGTGATTCAATTTATTGAACAGGTGAGATGGGAAATTGGGCAATATTTCGTAAGAACATGATTTTAAAACGAACCCCCCCCCCCCAGAAGGGTCAAAGTGAACCCTTTGCATAAACGTGACATACCTTTAGCGGGATACTGCCTGTAATGTGAGGATCATACACAACTGTGTACTTCTCATCCAAAAGGAGTCTTCCGTTACAAATTTGATAATTTATGTACATGTACCTTGTGCGAATGAGCCAAATGCACATGGTTATTTAGACGTTTCTTTGTGCACTGCTTCTTCATGAAATTTGGTGAAAATTTTCCTCCTAACTCTTGTGCGGAAGGGTTTATCAGAAGTTGGGTCTTGTGATAAGGGGAGGGGGGGGGGCGGGGGCTAAAGGGGTAGAGGGGGTGGGGTGGTGTATAAGTCAGGGGGTAGGAGACACAAGAGGGAGTGGTCACACACACCCCAGGTGCTGTTTCTGTCGGCTGTGGTTATTACTTGTAGAAACACAGGGCAATTTCATCATCCGTCTAATGAAGATCCTTAGCGGATTTGACAGTTTTGAATTACCCTCGCGTATCATTGGTGTAAGGGACGGCTCCAAAATGCAAATACTGCACTCTTGGCTTCGATCAGATCGATGGGAAAGCAACTGTTTCCTTGTCTGTTCCAAGTCATGTGATCCCCATTGCATTGTGATGTCAATAAATAATTGAATGCACAAACAGAGCCCTTTTTTGGGATATTTGAGAAATGGGCTAAACAAGTTGTTGATATAGTTCATTACAGTATTGGTATAGCTGTGAGATGAATGCATAAATTAGACAATTAAAAGGAAAATATGTAAATACATCACTTTGATGATAGTACAAATGTGTTCAATGTTTTATTTTTTGTTGTAAATCCATGATTTTTTGTTTTTTGTTTTGTTTGTTAATACAAGGCAACCTCAGTACAACATGTGCCTCTATATAATATCTAGATCTATGTGAAAATGTTTTTGTATTTTATTTGTACCTGTATTACACAGAGACTCAAGTACAACACCTTTGGAAAGCCTTGGCAGGAGATACCTTGCTAAAGAAGAAATAATGAATGAATGCATGAAAGAATGTATGAATGAAAGAATGAATGAATGAGTGATTGAATGAACAGATGAATTAATGAGTGAATGAAGGGATGGAGGAATGGTTGGATGCATGAATGAATGAATGAATGTTTGAATGGATAAATGGATGAATTGAATGAAAGGATGGATGAATGGTTGGATGGATGAATAAATTAATGAAAACAAACTAAACTCAATAGAGCATGGACCTACTTTTTCTTCTTGGATGAAAGTGAACAAATCCTGTATTTCTTTTCTGTCTCTATATTTTAGGACCCAGGATAACAAAAATTACAAGCTATTCCAAATCACAACTTTTTCTTCTTGGATGAAAGCATCAAATCCTGTACAATTTCTTTTCTGTCTCTGTATTTTAGGACCCAGGATCTTGTGAAATCATCGAGGGATAGCCACTTGACCTGAGCAGTGAGTCACACGCAAGATAGGTGAGTAAATGTAACGAGACCTCTCCTACGAAACGCTAGAAAATCAAACCACTGCCACTGTCCGTATTCAGAACCCGATAAAATTATTCATGTAACCATACAGCTTCCTTGGAACAAGTTTTTCTAATTGATCTCGGTCATGCAAAGGAGAATGCACAAGCGTAGGGTCTTCCACAGAAGAGGAATTTGTTTAGGTGTATGCTGTATCAGATAAGGGGTCATTCACACTACAAATTTGTTTTAGGAGTATAATACTGCATAAGCTAAGGGGTTATTCACACAAGAAGAATCTGTTTAGGTGTACGTACGCCTGTATTTGTGTTTTGTACATATGAATTATTCATGTGAGTCCATGGCCATTCACACATGGCAGATATGATTGAAGTATCTGTGTCAAGCTTTTATCATCAATAAATGCCTGTTTTATCATTGACCTTGAGCCAAATACACTTCTCACACTTCGCTCAGCTGAGCTCTTTCATTACGAAACAGCCCTATAGCTGCATTTACACTACAACCAAAATTTTTCAGTATCTCACATTCCACTGTTGGTTACATAACAACTACCGGCAAACACAACAACAAATTGAAATGGACAAATCCACATCTGGAGTGTATTTTTTTTATAAATGCCTGCCACAGTTTCACTGATTTTTGCAGTGTAAATGTAAACTTCTGTGAGATACAAATTTGTTGACACGTGACTCTCCTTGCTTCCGTGCTAACGCATGCAGCGCACCGACGACCCTCACAAAAAATTGTTATGAGCAATCTTCAACAATTTTTTTTATGGGTGCCTCGAGTAGTGTAAATGCTAATCCCCCCCCCCCCAAAAAAAGAGATGGTTTTTCAAAATGGTATTTTGGATGTGTAAGTGGGTCCGATGACATCCGCATTTGCAATGTGTATGCCTTCCTTTTATTTGTGCATGACAATAAAGAAATTCAATTCAATTCAATAAACAATAATACTATCTCAGCAAATCTCATATGAAATGTTTTTTAACAGTAGTGTACAGCCATGCATCAGATAACTCCTATTGCTGCAGGCCGTTCACTTCTATAGAGTTATTGTTCGTATTGATATTTTTCTATGTGTGAAAGGGGGCTAAAATCTGCAGGTGGTGACTGGATGGAGGAGTTGCGGTTAGCAGAGGTGATTGCTAATGCTTGGTGTAATAATACAGATGGGTATGACATAAATTCAATGAGGGTGACAATTAATAAAAGTAAAAGCAATGCTCAACATTTTGTTTCCTCACTCCTGTCAGTACCCTATGTGAAAATATTAAACAGACAATATATTTTCAGAAGAAAGATATAGTGAGATTGCAAAAAAAAATGATTTTGGGAAGCCAACTTAGAGAAAAAAAAAGCATAAATTAGGTGGAAAAGAGACTTGGAAATAGAAAATGAGTAAGAAGATTGGAGAGATGGAGTGAGTGAGAGGAGAAAACGAAAGAGAGAGGGAAAGGGAAAAAGAGCAAGAGAATGAAAGAAAAGAGAGGGAGCAAGGGAGAGAAATATTTAAAAAAAAAGGAGCAAGGATGAAAAGAGAGAAAGAAGGGGAAGCAGGGAGAAGAGAGAGAGATTGATAGAGATACGGCTTTGAGAGGAAAGAACAAGGAAAAACAATGAATATATCAATTACTAGCACAGAAACCTGTGTAAAAGGGAAGGAAAGGAAATGAGAATGGCTTGAAAAGATTGATATCAATAAAACAACATCCACAAAAAATAACATCATGATCAAGTGAATAATAAATGGGGAAGCGTATTCCTTGAAAAAACAGTGATGTCAAGCACGAGTGAGGCTATAGAATTAGAAAAATGGTGGAAGAGAGACGATTCAGGGAGAGATCGAAGGAAAAGGAAGCCGCGTGCAAGCGCTGGCTGGCGAGGAGGGAAACAAATTTGAGCAAAGAATCAATGGTCGTAGATGGGAGAGATTATTAATTGAGAGCAGTGCCGTGCACGTGCCTTGAATGTAGAGTGGCTTAGCAGAGAGGAGACCCATTGGAGGGCATGTGAGTGGCGCATTACCCGGCTTAATTACTGATAAAGACGCTCTAAAATGCCACACGAGTATGAGCCCGTGGCGACACTCTCTCTCCTTCCTTCTCTCTTTCTCTGTCTCTCTCTGTCGCTCTTTCTTTCTCTCTCTCTCTCTCTCTCTCTCTCTGTGTCTTTCTCTCTATCTCTCTGTTTCTCTCTGTTTCTCTCTCTCTCTTTTTCTCTCTCTCTTTTTCTCTCTCTCTTTCTCTCCCTCTCTCTCTCTTCTCTCTCCCTCTTTCTCTCTCTCTTTCTCTCCCTCTTTCTCTCTCCCTCTTTCTCTATCTTTCTCCTCTTTTTTTCTCCCTCTCTCTCTCCCTCCCTCTCTCTCTCTCTCTCTCTCTCTCTCTCTCTCTCTCTCTCTCGGTGCTTCTTCTGATTTTGTTTCTTGATCAGGGATAAGGGAAACATGAAGGTTGTTTGTTTGTCGGGTTGATGGATCTTCACATTAGAATGTAGAGGACTTGGGGGATTCGTTTCACAGCTCATACACAAGGCTGTCTATGGTTAGACTTCTTAGAAATGTCATTATGGAAGTATCAAGTTAAATACCACAGATGTGTTACATTTGTATTTAGATCTTGTTGATATTTACACCCCCTCTCTCTCTCCCTCTCCCTGCCTCTCTTTTTCTCTCTGCCTCTCTTTTTCTCTCTCTCTTTCTCTCTCTCTCTCTCTCTTTCTCTCTCTCTCTCTCTCTCTCTCCCTCTCTCTCTCCCTCCCTCCCCCTCTCTCTCTCTCTCTCTCTCTTTGGTTCCTCACCACGCTATGGTTTATCCAGGAAAGGGTGTGTCAATTAAATTGTTCGCTTTTCTACCAACAAAATTACAAGTAGAATAGAAGATAAACATTTAATTCTATGATAAATGACTCCTACATCAGACTTTTACTTCCATCTTTCAAAACCTGTTTAATCCATCACCCCTTGCCTCCATAAAGTGTGCACATGTATATACATTTTCTCTTTTTTTCCCTTCTCTCTACCTTCATCACATTTTGTGTAACGACCGATTCGCTCATTTTCCTCGCTTGGTCGACGACTCATTTCTTTGCATTCCTGCGGGATGCTATGAGAGCCGCAGCTGCAGGAAAATATAACACATCGATGATTAGAAACTTCTCCAATATTTGAACACCATGCATGCCTTCCAATGCATAGTCGTGCCGTCTTACCGTGGGTAAAAAGGACCTCTTTTCCTTGTTTTCTACACTAAAATGGTTACAATGTATAAGGAATCCTTCAAAAATAAAATCAGTATAGGCCTTCATGTATTTCTGTTTTGTTTTTCTGCAATACCCTATTGTTACTGCTCCCAGTGATTGTAGTTTTAAAGAACATAGCACAAGCACACACTAAAAAATAACTGTATTATTAAATGAGGGAACAATACTGTGTTCTCTGAGAGAAAATATATCTTAAGTAAGCCAATCTATAAGACTATCATCAAGGAAGAAAGAAATGAAGGAAGGAATAAAGAAAAGAAGAAAGAAAGAAACAAACAAAGTATAAAAGAAAGAAAGAAAGAAATAGAGAAAAAAAGAAAGAAAGAAAGGATGAAAGAAAGAAAGAAAGAAATAGAGAAAAAAAAGAAAGAAAGGAAGGATAAAAGAAAGAGATAAAATAACAATGAATCCATTGCCTCCGCGAACCAGGTGTGGAGAAAATTAAGTAGTCTTCTAGCTAATTTTTTACACATTACACTTAAGATTAAATATTCTCTTCAAGTAACAATGCAGCTGTAATACCCACCACCTTCCCATTCAAAATTGATAACACGTGATGTTTATATATTAGCTAAGACCATTATGAAATGGCATTTGAAGTGATCTAAAGGAAACCGACATAAATCTCAGGATGGAAAGCAAGCCACTCTAGTGCATTCATAACAGTTTTTTAATCCAGACTCAGAAGTATGTTACGTCGATCATATCATTGATCTGTAACACTTTCACGATCCGGTGTTAATACATGTATTATTTAATTCTGTTCCGTTTTATTTGGGGGGGGGGGGGGTTTAATTGAGCTGACTCAGGTTTGGTATTCATATAGCACCAGGACGATTTTTAATAATGTAAAATGTTATGGGTTACACATTTCTGTATCTTATAGCACAGAGAATACGCGCTAGTGCTTTGTTACATCTCTTGTATATCTTTCATTCATTTAATGTAGGTGTTAATCTACTACCAAGCTAGTTAAAATGATCCTACAGCATAGGTTATAGTTGATGCATGGTTTATGCCTTCAGATTTTTGTTACAACATGTTCAAGAGTTTGATAGCATTGAAGCAATTCTGGAAGCTGATTCATAGCAAAATCATGTTTTTAAAATGCAGCCTTTCCTGTGTTTAACATTAAAATCTTCAACCCAAAACATTATAAAAAAAATTATGACCGGCAGATAAATGCATAAATAAACATGGTTCAAAACTGTGATATTAAGCTTAAAAAAGGAAATTATGAACACAACCATAGAAGTCTGCTAACTCCATCTCCATCTTGGAGATCCAAGGCTCCCGTTTATAAGAAAAGCCCAGCAGTCTTGGGAAATGGGGGACTCGCTTGAAGACAGCGGCTGGCTGTTGGCTCATTTATCCTCATTAAGTGATTGGCCGCTGCTTCTCTACCCCGCTCTCCCCCGCCATAAATTGCAGAGTGTAATTGAAGACTTCGGCAGTTGGGCCTGTTTACACGGAAGAATCCTGCATTTAGTGGTAGTCAATTTTCCATTGAACTTCCACAATGGGTGAGTCCATGGGCAGTGACTAGTATGATATGACTTTTGTCCATTCATTTCATTAAAAAATGATACATCTCTTGATATGATCACTGAATAATGGTTCTTAGTACCGGGATCAGTAACATTGTTCTGTGGTTGCGTCAAGATATTTTTCACTATTGGATGAAATAAATGGACACAGTCATCATGTAGGGGACACATTGCATGG